GCGAAACAAAGCAAATCACTCCTTTGTTTCTACTTAACGACGATTCTTTATCGTTGTATGCTAAAACAATGAAGATTGAAATTATATATTTTATTACTAAAATTTGTTACTAGTCATTTTTTTTTAACTCTAAATTACATTATTTTTGATAATAAGCTTTAAAATTTGAATAATTTAATGTTAAATGAGAAGTGTCAGTTTTTCACATTTTCCTCTAAATAGAAAACTGGACAAATAAACATAAATTCACATAGTTTTATTAGTTACGACTAGCTTTTCAAATTTACTTATAATAAAAATACAGTCTCTGAATATTTTCAATCTATATTGTAGTTTAAATATTAGCTATATGGCTCTTAAAGTTGAGATAATTGCAAAAAGTATTTTGATGAGACATCAATGAAATTGTTAGAATTTGAGTTGTTTTTTAATAAAATAGATATAATATTAAAATTAAGTTTTGTGTATTGGGAATTTACCTGTTCAACTTTTCCTGTGTCAACATGTGATATGTGCAAGACTGTGCCGTCGCAAGGAGAAACCAGGTCGCATTTCTCGTCGATAGGTCTGATGTTTGATTTGAGAGATCTTCGAGAAGAAACATATTAGTTTGATGTACTGTTATGTACTAAAGGGCTCTACAAACCGTACGAAGAAGTCTGAGATCGATGCGTATGATTTTAAGTCTTCGTTGTTTGCTTCGGACAAGTTGACGCCGAAACAATTAATGTACATGCCGTAGACGTAGGGTCGAAGGAACTCTGGTAAATGTATACCTAGAAACATAAAAGAAGATAAATTTAAAGTAAGCTATGATTGCTAACGAATGATGCGATTATAATTAAAGTTCATTTTAATAATGTGAACACAAGAGGAACGGGTCATGGTGGGTTATCATCGCGAAAATCATGCCATTTTACGGAAGATTAATTTTTGTCGCTGCCTCTTAATTCCGGCCGAGGTCAACATTCTCGTCGTATCGCACCGACGGCGTTTTTAATGAAAATTGATTATTACTTAAGCCAAATATCAATTGGCATCAATTGTTAAGAAACACAGTGAACTAGATACGACAATTTGAGAGTGAAATATACTCGCATCATTTAATTTGTATTATCGTTTGTTTAATTAAAATTTCAAGATTTGTATTCTGCTGATATTTGATAATTTTCGTTTCTTTTTATTAAAAGTATAAAAAAAAAATATTTTCGCGGGAAATCTTTGATGCGCATTATATACGAGTGACTTATTTAATATTATATTTTAAAAATTGCTCAGCTTCGCGTGACTTATATGATCGTTTAAGAAAGATTAACTGTTTGTAAGATGTTAGTAATAATAGTTGTTTGTAATTACCTGCAATTGATCCCCAGAATCTGCTGATTGTCTTCAGAGGCAGCATGCAATAAGAATCAATTTCGATTTGCGAGGCGATCCGATCGCTGGTCTGCTTCCTGTATGCCCTCCATTGCATAACGGCTACCAGACAGATCCCAACGGGTACAAACTTGGTCACGACACCTTTCCACAAGGGCGCATCTAAACACACACCACCAATTAGCAACCAATGCACATAATCAACACCACACACCAGGAAGATTGATCTTACAATTAGTGATTTGCTAAATGCCAGCACCGGAACGGTCACGTCCATAGTCAACCGATCGCCGTTCCTGTGCGACTTCAGTTTATCTCTGTTTATAATATTCATTGTTTCATGCTCAGCGCGCCCGTCTGATCGCAAATGACCATCCCGCACAATGGACCTCCACTTTATACCCGTCCATAATCGGTGCTTGATAAACAATGCAGAGGTCAATTGCGCTTGATAACGAAAAGCCCCGCTTGTCCGGAAATAACGTGCTGCAACACGTACCGATTTCGAAGACCCGCACTCACCTTGCTTGCTGGGTCCTTCCTTCAGCTTGCCCAGATGACTGAAGCGGGTTGTGCTGGTCCATTGATTCTTTGGGTGCAGGAACGTCTGGTGGACACGACCTCTGCTTCCTACAATGCGGCCTATCCTAACACTTGATAAAACATTGTAGGCATTAAATAACATCATATACACCAATCGATGATAACAAAGACTACTATGTTTGATATCTGTTTTTAACATGTTACCCTTTGTTAACGTCTTCAACCCACAAACCTTTGCACCTTACATTTAATTTTATTTAATAAATATAATGAAACATTCACAAAAAAAAACCATTTCATTGATTTACATAAAACTAAATCACTTTTAAATTTAATAACTCTACAAAATGTCTAGGAAAGATTTGTCAAATTTATCAGGTACATCTCAAAAATGACTGTTTTATGTAAAAGTGTTATCACATTTTAGTTTATATTTTTAGCCTCCAAAGAGTTCTTTGAACTATTATCTAAAACAGTAAAGTGTATGATTTTAAGATTATAATATACACATACAGTGGAAAAACTTGCGGATTTTTACTCGTATAGTGAAACATAATCAAAAATTCATATAATATATGTATACAAGTTTTAAAAATCCTCTTCTCATCGTCACTCGTTAAGCGAGTCATTTTTCTTACAATTCATTTTGCTCGTTAAGCGATGTTCCACTTACGTTTACGTATATAACTGATGTTTCACTTAAAAAAAATTCTATACTTTTTATCTTCAAAGTTTTATTTACAAAGACTAAAATAAATGTTCCAATGTTTAACTAAAGGTTAAGAAGTCTTAATGATATCATTCATACATACACAACTTCTATATTTAACAGTTAAAAAAGTAATACATAAAGTATATAATTTCAGAAACACTATTGAATATTTCTTACTGAAACAATTCAATACAACCAATTTATTATTGCTATAAACTTAAATAATATCATTCGTATTTTGTGTAATTTCAATTCCAATAAGTTTGGTGGTGTTGATATGAACAATTTACTTTATAAATATTTTCGAATCTTTTATTATTTATTTATTTAACATATTTATTGGTCAAAAATATCACCAATGTTGTATAGACTGAGGTCATTCCATTTTGAATCTTTTATTTTCCGGGAACATCGACTTGTATAAACTAATGGACATTCCAATTACTAAAATTGCAAGTAAAACTTCAAAATTTGATATTTTAGAAATGATAATAGTCTATATCAGAATATAGCAATTCTTAAAATTATATTTTTTTAATCACTTTTTGCATCAATCTTTCAGTTTTAGAAATATGAATGATCTTTAATAATAAAGAGTTAACTAAATAATAATGTATTACATATAAACAATGGAATCTTTCAAAAATATTTATATTATTGCAAATGTTGTATTACAGTTATGAAAAACATATCTTTCAACAACATTTCAAACAAATGTGACATTCAAATGTGGAAAATTAATTACAGTTGACCCAAATAGATTTTATACTGATGAATACTATAGAAAATAAGTGACAATGACAAATCAATGAGTAATTCAGTCAAATATTTTGTATTGCGTTTAAAGCTATAAATAAAATAAGAATTTAAGAAAAGATTTTCATTTATGATTCACTTGCAAATTACTATGAGCATAATATTTGTAATCATCTAGTAATAAAAACACGTGAAATTGCATTTGCGTATTTCGTATATTTTTTTTTTAAATAAACAATAGCGTCAACCAATTAACACAAAGTTCGATCGAATTTCGCTCTAATTTGATAAGGAAACATTTAAATTTCCTATTGTTTAATGTATGTAATCCATTGTTATAAAATAATGAAATATTGTTAAATACAGTTCTGCGAATGCAACGCAGACAACTATTGTAATTTTTGATAAAAATATTGAAAATGTCTTAAACACAAGTGATAACATTATTGATATCATGAACATGAACAATAGTTTTTTTTAATCAAACCAAGTTCATGAATAAAGTAGTTGTTAATTGAAGTAATCAGCATTTGGAACATCGCATATCTAAGTTAATAAAACCTCATGTGGGTTGGAATTTATTCCGTCTTGCGATTCAAATATAATAATCAAAATCTACTTGATATGGAATGGTCATAAAAATTGTTCTAGTTGTACTTATATTTGATACTACAATATTATTCCAATTGATAAAAGATGCATATCGTCCATTCAAGTTCTGTCCGCCGCACACGTTGGCTGATTTTTGAAAGCATAACATAATGAGCTCTATGAACTCGTCGTTACTTTTTTCTAAATACATAGACTTCGTCTACTCTTGGACTACTTAGAGCGTATAAAAAATCATGGCACTTTAGTCAATTTCAGTAGGAACTGGACAATTTTCTCATTTAACTTTAATCTCATCACGTTGCCGAAATGTATTGTGTAAGCTCATCGCAGAGCAACGAGGAATCCGACGAGAAAAGAGAAAGTGTTAACAAGTAAACAGAATCTCACAGAGAAACATTTTGGGAACAGGAAATAAGGAAACAAACAATTGATAGTGGTCTATGCGTATTTTGCAGGCGGAGATCACGCGTTCCGTAGTCCTAATCCGGGTAGATTGTGCTTTAATTTCAGGTCAATCCGGGTTACGGGTTAACGGTCAAATTTCCACCGAATTTTTCGCTATTACACAGTAACTACCAACGTGCTATGATCGTCAAAAAGAAGCAGCGGATTAGAAAAAAAAGTAAAGTAAAACTAAATCGCTTGTCGATGTGCAACGAATTTGCAATTGGATAAGCATGATCTGCGTACGAGAATCTTGTTTTCATATATTTTGCAATTCGAATTAGTTGAAAAAAAAAAACAAGAATGCGCATAATATGCAGAATGATAAGAATGACGTGATTTGATTACATCATGTTCTTATGAACTAAACGGAATACCCAAATTTATTTTAAAAATGTTATAATTTACATGATAAAATACATTTTATGAATGGGTATGACAAAATATGATACCATTGATGATCTAATAAATATTGGTTTGAAAGACATACAATAAGTGGACTTGTTTAGAACTAAACGTCCTTCTTAAAATATGAACCATCAATCGACGTAATCAGTTTATTTTGAACAATTTATTTGTTCTAAAATTGGGGAAAATATTCCCAATGTAGTAGTAACTAACAGTTCAATTTTTAAGTTTTTTAAATTCGTTACAACTTATTGTAAGTTCTTCTTCCTCTCCACTTCACTTGGCTTGCGCGTCTTGCACAATTTCGCCAGCCACTTGTAAGTTCTTAAATACAAATTTTGTGGATAATTTGAATTTTAAAATCCCAATGTATGCAACTTTTGTGACACCACCGTCACACTAAAAACAAACTTCGTTCAACTCTATCCCACTGCTTATGCTTACCACAAACAATATTTAAATATTAAAGAATTCCCATATAAAAATAAAATTCATGCTTTTATAACGATATAAATTATTAGAACATAAGTATAACTTGAAAGTTTCAAAGTGAATAAAGGAATATGATAATTCTTGTACTATTTAAAATGTATTGTTATATGTTCACATGCAACTGATAAAGTTCAATTAGACATAGCAATATTGACTGCAATAATCGATATTATACTAAAATAACATTCTAATTGATGATTTCTTGATAGCTTGATGCAAAGTATATTAGCAGTTTCAGGTTAAGTTTAGTGTACCATATTTGGCAAAAGAAAGGTTCTACTTACAATTGAAACTTATTTAAAATATGAATGGACATTTCGGACGTTAACGAAAAGGGATAATGCTACACTCACAACAAAAGCATAACAATAAATAATTCAAAGGAAAAATATTGTGCGTGACACCTGTCAAGAAAGTTCCCACATGTTCCACGATGTCTCCAATGGTTGCAGTTGCAGTATCACTAGTTGCCGACCTATAAATACGCAATTTAGAGGATATTTATAAATGCTGATTTTGTATGTTTAAATCCTAATATTGAAGCTGAAAAGCATTACGGTTTTGAAATAAACTCTTGCCAGTCCATACTGGTTTTCATACTAGCTAAAAATTGCAATTATTTAAAATCTGAATCATGATACAAGTAAAGATTCTATTTTCTTGCCTATTTATATACTATATATATAGCAGCCAAAATATTGCATTTCTTACAAGTTTCTTCTTTGATCAGTAAATGTATCAATGAAGTTGAAAAAAAAAATCTAAAAAAATATTTGGAGAAAGCATTGGTTCTTATTTTAAAGAATACTCATGACATATTTTTGATCATAAGAATTTTAAATATCTTTAGGTAATAAATATGGTGTTAATGATATTGAAATAGACTTAATAACTTAAGTTAAGGATTAACGTAAGATAAATCAATGGGATGGAAGATGTTTATTTAATACAAATTGGAAGCTAATCATCATCTAAATTTTCAGGTGGTATAATAATATTGCTAGTTGGGAATTTGTGTCTTGTCTTGAATTGTTTCTTGGTTATCTTGTACTGAAGATTGTAAATGTTCGGAGATGCACCTTTGCTGGTCGCCTAAAACGAAAAGAAAAGCAAATGTTAAACATTTTCCATCCCACGAGAAGTTAAGAGTAGAAAGGGTTAGAGTAATAAGAAACGAGTTTGCATATCGGTAGGGATTGTAATAAAAAATTTACATTAAAATAAATACTTTAAACAACACACTTAATAGGATATTTTCGAAGTACATTTTTGGCACGAAATGAAAAAAAAATATATATGATGTAAAATGGTCTGGCATTCCGTAATTACGAGATTGGGAAATGCTTTGCTGGGAACGTCACCAGCGTGACGTGGATGGGCACCGGGATTTTGTTGTCGTATCTGTTGGTGTTTCTGGTCAAACGTAACTTCGGATAGAACGGAACACTGCTCGAGTTCTTGGAACTCTTCGCAACGATCTCGTCCACCTTCTTCGTCTGCCTGACCAGGCTGTTCACGAATTTGGTCGCGTGACCTTTGGTTGTCTCCTCTGTATTATTGACGGACGGCAGGATTTTCTGTTTCGAGAGGCTGTGGCGTACGTTTGTGATGTGTCTGGTGGTCTCTGTCCACCAGCGACGCGTCTGAGGCGTCTTTTGCTGGTGCTTGTGTTTCATGCATTCGTTCGATGATCCGACATTCACGAACTTCGAGTGACCTACTGATGACAAAGTTGGCGCAGCTATCCTACCAATCTGAAACAACACACCTGCACTTCTGATCTACCAGCTCCTAAGTTTTCTACAACCTCTATCTCCTTCACCCTTCGTATCTTGAGCGGAGGCGACGGGGTCGTTCTCTCCACTTTCTTCTTCATGTTCTTACTGCTCTTCTTACCCATTTCGCTACCAAACAGACCACGAGTCTCAGCCATCTGAATCATATATTTGTTGTCCAACCTAGTAACTTGCTGTAAATATCACGCAAATACTTAATTAATCCCGATAAAAGAATCGCAAGCTTACTTTGCGCTGCATCAACGCTAGGTAGCAACCTTCCTTGTTCACTTTCGTACAGGTCCCTGAATTCGGACAAAGTTGCGGTAAATTTGATACATCGAACAAATCACAATCGGGAACCTATGTTTAATCATTAATTAACAGATCATCACGCGACAGAAAGTCTTACAATAATCTGCTCCTTCTTCTTGATTTTCGGCACTATCTCAGGTTCAGAAGTCACTGGCGTCGTCCCTTCGCTATCTTCCGTATCATCGAAATTTTTGCTTTCTATGACCTTCACTTCAGATTCCTGCAATAACATTGCCATGATCAATTTTTGGTTACAGTTCGAACTTAAAATTACTGTCATACACTATCACTTGGTTCCAGGTACTTCAATTTACCCTGAATCGTGGCGTGATGTATTTTAGCACATTTATTGATTTCGCTCACAGTCCTACGAACCATCTGGTTGTTCTCCGCTTCGATTTCCGAGTGCGTTTCATATAACACGAATTGTATCTAAACAAATTAATTGATAAATTAACAAGCTTAGACATAATTAATATTATATAATACCTGAGGCCTGGACATCGCGAACTTTAACGTATTCTTCTGCTCTTCAAGAATAGTGGCCACCCTACGCTTACCTTCCAGAGTATCCTCAGTTTCTGTAAGAACTTCAAGCATGGACAAATCACCTCCTCTACTGCACACCTACAAATTGCGCAACTTTATTCGCAACCAGATTTAATCTATCCTTAATATCTGTACTAAATCGATGGGATCCGCCACGGCTGAATAACTGTTAGGTGGAGTAGCAAAGACGGCGATAACCTCTTCCAAGGAAGTGGAATCCGGGGGCAAATCGATAAGTTTTTCCGAGAATATCAAAATATTTTTTATCCCCAAATCGTTGAAGTAATTCTCGTATTCGCTTTTTCTGAAAGCATCCAGTTAATAAACCTGCACGTCTTGCTCGTTCAATATTTACCTATTTCCGGCGCTGAAGGCTAACAGTTTTTTGATGTTTTCGTTTTGGGAGAGAAGCGAGGCCAAATAGGCCGTGGTACGAGGAGAGTTCACGTGGGACTGTATCACCGTTCCGCTCAGCTGAAGATCCGAAATTATCTTGCCAAAGGTAGCTGGACCCACGCAGAAGGATTTGTCCTAAAAACGGCTGCACTTATAATCTGGTGATTACATGCAGGACGATTATACTTGAACAATTAACTTATGCTTCTGAACCAAAGTACTTTGTGCCAATTTCGTCCTTATCGATGGGTGGAAAATGATGAATTGCGGACAGTGTTCATCCAGTTTATAAGAATCCATTTCGAGGGATTCATGGTACTCTATCAATTTCAGATCCAGAGTTTTCTGAATTGCCGCTTTCAAGTCATCGTAGTTTCTAAAATGAAATAATTGATATAATTATAAAATTATGCTTAAAATGCTAATTCAACATAGGTAACTGATTAAATAACTATTTAGACGGTTAAACCGAACATTTATTCAAGTTGATCTACACGTAAGCATTTCATACATGATTGTATATAATGGTGAATATGCAACATATTTTTGTAATATAACTTTAAAATTTAGTATCTAATGTAATATATTATTTATATTTAATAAATACCGTTTATAATACATATTACTAAAAATGTCTACATAATACATGATTAGATATTAATAGTAAATTGTAAAAATATAAAGATGACAATGATTGCCATTCAATATAATTATGGCATAGATTTTACTTTTCCGGTACAAATTGAAGTGCCATGGATCGAAGAAAATCGACTTTACTCATGCTTCCGTACATATTCAGGAGATCCATTATTCTCGGGTTTTCTTCCTTAAATGGTTCTAAGTGAAACCTGTTCAGTTTTTCAGTTCTTAAGTGTTCGTAGTCGGCATCTCGTCCACGCTGCATTTTGCACAGCTTGTTCAATAGGTGCTCGGTGGTTGGGGCGTCTGGATCGAGTTCCGACTGCATGATTTGATGAACCGATTCCGCTTTTAAATTTGTTACGATTTCGCCGGCCACCAAACGTTCGTAGACGCTCCAGATCTTGTCCTGAAATTTTGGCATATGCCTTCCGTTGGTTCGTCTATTCGGTCTGCCGACAAAGTTGTCTTCGAACCAATACATAATCTGTACCTGTTCCTCCGTCAACTCGATATTCAGGAGATCGATGCACTCCTCCAGTTCTCCGACTGGCACGAATGCCAAGGCGAGTATCATTTTCGCTCTAATCTCAAAGTCTCGATTGGTTTTGTACTCGTCTAAAAGGTCGATCGTGGATAGATACTTCTCCAAGTAGTTGATCAAATGGAAAAAGCACCCGTAAATATCTATGCCAGAATAGTAATCCTCAACAGCCAAGATCAAACCTTGTTCGAAATTGCAACCGATTGACCTTGGCCGAAAATTGGGCACCAAAGTATTGATTATGACAATCATACGTCTGAATGTAGCCTTATCCTTCTTCTTCAAGATGACGTAGAACATCGGATGGGCACTACCAAACTTGTAGGCCATAATTACGAACATATATGGTACCGGCTTCGAAGATATTTTCAGACTACCATCGATATACCAATCCATACACTCCTTTAAATTAAATATGCTTCGATATCTTCCAAATACCAAGATTCTGTTCTGTCCAGAACCGTAATCGGCCTGCAAAAAGTTTTCCTTCTCTCCGTTCTCTGGATAGTACGCAACATAGCTGTTGGGTATCACCATGTTGTGTATATTAGGTGCTTTGATAACAAACGGCGAAGGCATTACTGTTTGCTGCGGCACTTCTTCCATTTCCAAAATATTATCGGGTTCGGGTGTAGGAATCGGAATAGAACCCAATACACCATACAACGACGATCGACTTTCAACATTAAATATATCTTCTTCTAGGGTCCTATCCACAGTTGCTTGTATACCGTTTTGATTCACAACAGTTGAGGGCGTGGAAGTACGGTTTACTGCAGAAGGGCTCCTAGCGCTAAAGTCCATTAGACCCCTAAGCTCGTTTACCGAGGGGAGCCCAACAGTATCAAGCGGTATATTTTGCATAACATCTAGCAAGCTTCGTTGTATAACTGGTCTCTTCCGCTTTGTCTGCGCCGGATGATTGTGGGCATGAATACTCTTCACAATGACCTTGTCTCTTATCTGCAGACGAACCCTGCAGTTCGGACTCGAGATACAACGCCAATAATTAGTCGTGTTATTACGACTTCTACGCTCGAAAGCATACACGAAACCATCTTTCTTGAATCTGTTACGGTCAGTGACACTATTTCTATTAGTTGCCATCATGTTAGCAATATCAGAAGGATACTTATTTCACCTCTACCCACTCTTCAGCTTTGTTCAGTGCCCTTTGACACTAGTTTAACAGTTTGAGCAGCCTTAGGAGGAGACTTAAACTTGGGCAACCATTAAAACAGATCGATTAACAGTGTACCGAAGCAATTTCCGTGCCCAACCCAATTGAATCGGTTTTCTTCGGAAACCAAATGGTTGCCAATGGTGCATTGTTACCACATTAAATTCATGCAACATCTATGATGTTAATGTAGCTGCCTACATTTATATATAAAAAAAACTTATATAACTTCACATCTCAGTGAATTATATATAATGTGTAATATTTGTTTTATTATAGTTTTCGCAACATTTAATGTAATAATCGAATAATAATAGAAAAGTTATAAATATTTCTATATGTAATTCCTTTATGGAGTAAACATTACTGATTAAAATAGAAAAATCCAAATATATATTAGTTACATTCAAATTAACTAAAATAATTTTTATTTAAAATGGATAGTTTCAAACAATCTTTTTATGCTTATGTTTTCATAATCGATGTTATTTTGACAGAGAAGAAAGTGGAGTTGATTAATGAAAAGCAAAAACTTTATATAAATAAAAATATTTACAAAAATAATTTACAGAAACAAATATTTGATTTCTTTCAACAATGAGCAATTAAATACGGATAAAAAAAAAACTTAATTAGTAGTTTCAGAACTTTCACTATAGAAAGTGAATCTATCAAGTCTATCTATCTGATTGATACACAATTATTATTGAAGCTTGAAAAAGAATAAACTTAATTATCTACAATCATTTTAGATTGTAGAACTTCTATGTAATACACTTTTAACAGTAAATTGCAAGAAAATTACAAATTAAACACATTCATCATCACTTAAAGTAATGGTGTTAAAAAATATAATCAATAGAAATAATTAGAAGTAATATTATAATAAAACCTATTTATATACTCAGTTTTAAGTACTAATTCAAGTAATTTCTATTAAAGTGTTTTCGCTCGCAAATTTCATCATAAATTTCGTATTAATTTAAATATGTCATGACTTACATGACATATTTAAATTAATACTAATAAAGAGATTATCAAAAAATAACTAAGAATGCTAGTTTCAAATATAAATGGAAAGACTTATTAATTAATAACTATTTGCAATGATTCATGCGTTTTCATTTGTCTGTAATTATTTATACTTGTGATAATGGTAATAATATTTGTTGCAAAATATTATTACCATTATCACCTAAATATTTACCAGACAAACAAATATTTACCAACAATAAAAAGAAACACATTTTAAAAATGTTTCAACCAGGCAAAATTCATTGGTTTTATATAATTATTAATATTTTGTGTCTTCAACATGTTTATTACTATCATGATTTCAATCTATATTAAGAATTTCTCGAAAAGTCATAGCTAATCCTAAGTTAATCAATATCATTATAGTCATCAGTATAAACTAATCCATTTAAAAGTTGTTTTTAAAACCAAATTACAGTTTTCTGTTTAAATTAGAGATGGAATTGCTGAGATTATTCTTAAACGATAAAGTTTTAAAAAAATTGTACTAATTTTATATTTATGATATGATTTATTACCATTCAAATGTAAGATATTTATGATTTGTAAACACCTAATTGAACATTATTGGGGTTTTTGTTTGTTTATATGATAATTGGAAATGGTTATATTATTCAGAAATGATTCAGAAATATTTTCTATATATTATATATATTAAGGAATATATCATCATCGAATATTTGAAACATTGTTGAAATACATTGCTTGATCGCTATGTAGGTCAACACAAAAGATGTTAAAGCAGAATTGGCGCTAAAAAGAATATGAAACAATCCATGTGCAATATCAGGATTTGAAATGTCATCAGGTCACATACACACACAAACATATATCGTTCATATTGATATACGAAGAGCGCAAAGAATGTATTGATTTTGCGGACTCACTTAACTTTCTTGATATTGACCCAACATGTGACGGGAGCGTGCTTTGCATGGGTAGAGACCTTCTCGTCCCTCAGATGGTAGGGCAGCAGCTGGCTGAGGCGAAGGGCGCTGTGCTTGATCCGAAGACGCGCCACGGACGCCGCCAGCTTCACCCTATCCGACCAAACCGCCTCCTCCACTTCCTGCAGCCCGGATTCCGCGAATAACGCTTGAGCCACGGACGCATTCCTCACTGTACGCTTTTTGAAGCTGCGATGGTAAAGGTCATACAAAAGCAACCAAACTCGTGACATGCTTTTCTTCATCTAAACATAAAAAAAATCAATATCATTGATATACCTTAACTGAAAGCGACATAAACACAATCAATTATTTACATGCAAATAATAAACCAATGTACAATAATTACAATTAGATTAATTGATTTTACATAAAAGTAAATGCACATTAAAAAAAACCTAAGATAGTGCGGCTACCATCAGTCCGGATTTAGTATAGACCCGTTTGAAAATATCAATACAACCTAAAATATAATTCACAAAATATAATTATAGTTACTCAATTAGTACGGGTTCAAACAGGATATTGGTGAAACCGCACTATTAAGTTATTAGCAAAAAACAGAAATTCAGTGATCAGCTTGAATAGAATTATAATTACATTGTTTTACATTACATAAAGATATTATTTACAAATTCTATAATTTTTGAGTAATTTTTGCCACAGGAATTCAACTAATTATAATTACTTAACTTAGTCGATATAACTTCCACAAAAGCTTCATTGTACATTTATTTATTATTAATTAACAGTTAATATTAAAATTTTGGATTTGTAATATAATTAGAATGTAAAGAATTGTATAATGTTTACGTGAAAGCATAAAATTACGTAATTATCAAAATATTAACCCATAAATTATTATCACTATATTTGTAAATTTATAACAAAAACTCACCTTAGGGTGTTCATAGAAAAATGCAACGTCCTCCAAAGCTTTGCTCAATATGCTTTTATCTTAAAAAATAATTACAATTAATTATGTTATTTAATATTCTTATATAAATCATTGTCTATTTTAATTAATAACAGATATTTATAGCGAAAGGTTTGAAGTATCAAATATATATAATTTAATTATAGTTTAACTTTGATTCCCGAGTTTATTACCTATTAAATATGAAATAAGTAGGCTAATAAATATTGCACTAAAATAATATCTATAACAAATCGTAATTAAATATTAATAATAAAATTATATTATATAAGCAATAAAATGCGACAATATTTATAAAATGTACTTTGTATTCGTTCTGCGACAACAGTTTCGCATGATTCTAAATGCAAGAATGCGAAATACGTATTCCAACGTATTTGGTTTGGTTTGGTCCTTTATATCTTTGCGCCCTTCAGGTTCTACACCTAAAATACACCTGTCCATGCAATTTTTGTTGCATAATCATCGGTAAGCAGCATTTCAAGAATTTTTACAAGAACAACAAATACTTTTTTGTTCTTTTCTCAATGAAAATGTAAATTAATAAATAATATAAAGTAAATTAATACTTTTTAAATAGTAAAAAAATAGAAAACAATTAAACTAATGAAAAATAGAAATATTATAAATTATTACTTATATATGCTTAAGATATTTAAGGCTAAAGGTAAATAAAGTAATACCTTGCATAGTGTGGCTTCGATCATTGTGGATTCACTATAGTACGATTTAAAAATTTCAAAACTTAATTTTGACAAAACAATTAAAAATAAATTCTCAAAAATTTTGCGTATGTATTTAGTACCTCGATTAGTCCGGTTTTAAACAGATTACCCACACTATGCGAGATATTTAGTATAGAGTTAACAATTGGATAAAAGAAACCCAAATATCTAAAGCTGGGAATTGATTCAGTGAAGAAATATTACAATTAAAAATAAATAGGTTTTAATTAAAGTAAACTGCAGTTACAAGAATATATTATAGAAATAAATAGTAACAAACACGACATTATATATAAAGAAATCAGTTTCTAATCTTGATAACCAAAAAATATTATACTCATTCTACATTTTTAGATGACAGATGAATTTAAGTAAGGAAGATATTTGAGAAAACTCTACAGGATTATTTCTACTTAAACAAACAAATGTTTATTGTTATCAAAAAAAGTATTGAAATAGTATTGAAAGGCATTTGTTTTATCTTCTAAATAACAGCTTAACAACCAAATGACTGAAACATTTCAACATACTGGATTTATCTAAAAGATAGGCTAATGGAACAACTATTAGACATTCTTGTATACTATAAATGACAATTAGACAAGTTATAATAAATAATAATTTATTGTTGCTTTCATGTGTTATTAACATAATTTGAGGATAAATATTTTACATTTCTAAAGGCAAAGCTTCCAAGAAGAAAACTGAAGAATACAGCAATAGTAATTTGTTTAGTATCGATTTCCATGCTTTTGTCATTAATTATAAATAGTTTCATTTATAAATAGAACTCTCATAAATTCGAATTAAAATGAATCTTTTATTAAGCATATTAATTATCGATTATGTGCAAATTGAATAGTGAAAAAAGTGAATTTGAAAATAATAACTGACGTAAAACTATTGATTAAATTAAATTAAATTTCTAAAAGTGAACACTTTATTCATTTCATGTTATCCAATATGTTTTTAACTAATTATGAGTGATATATTCTACTAAATTGGAATATTAATTCCAATTATAACACTTTCTTTATTTATAACTGATAAGTTATATGAGAATAAAACTGTGATAATTTAACTAAAAGATCTTAATGTGGTCTCTTTTTGATTCCCAGGAGATATACATATCTCTTCATCAGAGTTAAATACATTCACACATGGGTTAAGATGACCGAAGCTTCAATACAACGAAATTCAACGTCAGATAGATTCTAGTACATCCAATAGAAAATTTACATCAAAATTATCCAAATAGTTCAAAAACTAGGTTAAATTTATCGAATGCAGAAGATTATGGTTTTTTTTTAATAGATTTAGAAAAGCTTGTTAGTAACGAAGACAAAGAAAATTAAAGTATTTTTGATCGCAAATAGCTTTTCATTTCCTTTACGAAGGAACGTATAGGCATTTTAGACATATTGTGTACCGAAACAATGATAGTTCTGGGAAATACGTCACTAAGAAATGTTAGATAAATTCTAGTACATCCGATAAAAAATTTACATCAAAATTATCCAGATAGTTAAAAAAATAGGTTATTGAATGTAGAAGATTGTGGTTTTTTTAGTAGAAGATTTAGATGTTTTAGAAATGAAGACAAGGAAAATTAAACTTTTTTTGTTCGAAAATAGCTTTTCTTTACGAAGGAACGTACTGCCATTCTGGCCATAGTATTGTATACCGAAAACAATGATAATTCTTAGAAATAAGTAACTAAATAATGTTCATCAAAGTTATCCAGATAGTTCAAAAACTAGGTTAAATTTATTGAATGTATAAGAATATGTTTTTTTAGTAGAAGATTTAGATTTTTTTAGAAAAGAAGACAAAGAAAATTATACTTTTTGTTGTTCGAAAATAACATTTCATTTTCTTTACGAAGGAACGTATAGTCATTCTGGCCATAGTATTTTGTATCACTGAAAATGAAGTTTTGTTTAACGCAAAGAAATTTCGTTAATCGAAAAAACTGAGACTATTAAGTTATTTTTTTGTCAGAAAATAATTAAATCTGTAATTTTTCGCCATTCTTCGATCTATTCAATGGTTATGAATTGAATAACTTTGGAATGAATTTACAAAATAAAGAACATTATGACAATTTGATAATAAAAAACTAACGGTGTTTCGTTACCATATTTTATATATCTATAAGTCAATTTGTGTATCTATAACTTAATATTTATAAGCGACTGGCAAACGGGTCGACAGGACCCTGCCAAATGGGAAGGGGTTTCCAGAAGCAAGCTCATTATTGAAAGAAGAAGAAGAAGAAGAACTTAATATTTTTCATGTTTAAGCTAGTATATTTAAGAAAAATATAGTTCACAAACTAGTTACATAAATAGAACTGAGAACATTTTTTTTCATACATTTCTACTCATGTAATGTAAAAATTTAAGAAAGCGTGACTTTCTGGACAATTCGAGTGC